TTCCTCGTAATTCTTCCACGCAACTTCAAATTTGTGTGAAATAATTCTAATAACATGGAGCTTCATTGGCAATTTTTTTGTTCTCGTAACATCTTCGATCGTACCAAATTCTTATCGATTCATTTTGAATTTTTGTGTACTAAATAGCAAAAATTGAGAAAATGATGAGGAAACAACATTCAATGAACAATGAATTTATAGGAGAAGACCAATGTATATTTGAGTTTAATTCCATAAATAAGTGATATGAACTTAAGAAAGGCAATAATTATAAATTGATTCAATAGAATATTATATAGTTTAAATAGTGATTCAATAGAATGTATATTTACACGAATTGGTTGCAATATTATGTAATTTTATTATGATTTTGTAGATAGTTAGTATATGTATTATATAATATCTCGATTTGCACGATTTGTTTCCCATATAATACGATTTTGTTATGAATGTTGCAGATTTGGTTGCACGACCAAATTAATTGGGAAGATATTTGAAGATTTCTTCATCAATTATGTACTGATTATTGGATGCTAATTAAAATGGCTTAATATTCGGCGAGAATTGTTAGCAATATTATCACAAAGTGTACTGCTTATTGGATGCTAATTAAAATGGTTTAATATTTGGTGAGGATTTTCAATAATATTTCTATACATTAGCCGCAATGTTTGACCCAATATTTGGTTAAAATTAAAACAAAATTTCCAAACATTATTCCATACAATGGCCGCAATGTTTGACCCATAATTTCCACCCAATATTTGGTTGAAAGTAAAGCAAAATTTCCGTGCAATTGCATCATTATTTGCATACAATCGCCCTATTGTTTATAAATTAAATAAGGCGAAGATTACATTTCCAAATAAGAAATCGTCAGATTACTTCCATTATTTCCAAACAATCACCTACTATTGAATATAATAAATTTCGTTTTGAATTTCGAAAAAAGGGCGGACGTTTCCAAAATATTTACTAAAAAAAAGTAAAACTGAATTCTTTAGGCGGGAAAATAGTTATTTTTTTCGGTAAATTCCGAACCTTTTTATATTTATATAGATATGGTTGGAAAAATCGGTCCAATTTTTTTGAAAAATATCTATATCTAAAAAACACATTAGTGCTTTTAAATTTTGAAATACATAAAATTTGATATAAACCGGATTTTGAAATTGATAAATCCTTAATTTAAGGAATGGTTGAAAAATCCGTCCAAAATGATTGGAAAAAACCCGTCCAAAATCTTTGGAAAATACTTGTATATAAAAAGCGTGTGTATTAGTGCTTTTTAATTTTGAAATGCATAAAATTTGATATACACCAAATTTCGAAGTCCATATTTTAACATAAATTCTTGCCTTAATTATTTTACTTCGTGAATTCTTAAAATAATTTCCTTAACTTAATTAATTAACTTCTCTAATTATTTTCTCTTAACTTCTAAGCTCAACTAAAGTCTCGAATAAAATATCTCAAGGCTCGATTAAGGCTTGGAAACTAATTTTTATATAACCAAAAGGCCCGCTAAGGCTCGACTACAAAATAATTTAGGCTCGGTTAAAATATGTGTCGCCGAGCACGATTGGACTATTGCAGCCGCACTTGGGCCTACTGATGGCTTGCTGGGCCTGAGCTGGGGTGGTAGGGCACCAGTGAGTCATCCTGCAACGAACTGTGTGCGACTAGCAGGCGATGGGCCGCGACAAAGGCATTGGGTCGAGGCTGGGAGATGGGCCGCTGTTGGGGAGGACGCGCAGGCTACACCGGGCCGACATGAGGGTTGGAGATGGGTTGGACGCGGGCTTCAGCTGTGAAGAGCGTAGGCTTACTAGAGCCGACGCGGGCCGGACACGTGCTGTAAAAAGTGTTGCAGAAATTGGGCCTCAAGCAAGTGGGCTCCTTTGTTGGGCTTCTCTTCTAGGCTGCGGATGCTGATTGCTGGGATGGACGGTTGGGTTTCCTTGCGTTGGGCTTCTCTCCTGGGCTGCTTCCACGCTGGGCCGCGAGCTGAGGACGAACGCACTCCTGCTGGCCTGAACTCGGTTGATCTGCGACTAGGCGCTGAAGCAGAGGCTGGGAACAGCGACGCTAGCGACCGTCTTCGACGCGTTCGACTCCTCGACAATCGGGATTCAAAACTCGACATATGTTACGAAAAATATAATTTTTCAGGGGCTCGAGAATTTACCAAAAAACGGGGTTTGGCTCGGAAAACTAAACGACAATTCAAAGCACGACTAATGTCGGATTTCTGAAATAAGTTTAGCCCTAAATTCAAATAACGCAATCGGCATGAAAAAAAAGCTTGGATTTTCACTTCAGCTTAAAATAAAAAAAAACAAAAGCTCGATTATCGAAGAACAAAGAACAACATCACATGAATTAATCATTTTTTTTTTTCTGAATTTAAGTCTTTGATTCGACTAACATGAAAACATGAACTTATAATCTAACTTTTTCTGAAAGTTTCGAGGGTATATAATTCTCTGGTTGAAGGATAAGAATAGGGCCGGAAAACATTAATTTTTTGTCGTCGAAACTTGTTTCGTCTTAGCCGCACAAGAATTCTCGTCTCTACCATGGAAGAGGGCCGCTCCTGTTGCTAGAAAAAAGCCTCTCCCATTGTCGGACGTGCTCGGAAACATGCTCAGCCGCAGGCTGCTTGCTCTCTGTTTCATCGAGGGGTGCTGGTCTCACCGAAACTTGGTGCTCTCGATCCGGTGCCCTCGGGTGATCGCGATCTCGCCAATGAAACGTCTGTCGAAAAAATATAAATAAACTTGGGAAACGAAGAGAAAATGAGAGAGGGTGAAAGTTCGGAAAAATAATGAGTGAATCTGGACACGGTTGTTCCGATTTTCGAAAGTATGGGAGAAGATTTTTGCAACGCCTTTTTTGAAAAACTGAGATGAGTTATGGGAGATTAAGCGTGATTTATGGAGCTCAACAGCTAAAGAATTTAAGAAGTGATATGCAGAACCTAATTTATGAGGGATAAATAAGAGATCGTGCGGATCTTTGGGGAGAAATGGAGCTGATTTTCAAATAAAATAAAATAAAATAAAATAAAACAAATGCCACAATTTAAGTGCAACATTTAATGCTGCTTAATTTTTTAAAATAAAATTACTATAAATGGCATGTAATTAATGTTAATTTGGTTTTGACCAAGATTTGACCTACTATTTTTGAAAAAATATTACATATATATATGTGAAAAGGGAAGAATCTAAAAATTGATAAAAAAAGAAGAAGAAATTTGTTGCTTGCTGCAATTGTTATATTTTTTAGCTTGCTGACACCATAATTTTAATATTTGTTAATAGTGTCTTTATATATTTATTGATATAAATTTAAGATAAATAAGATATTTAATTATTAAAATAAATATTTCCATATCATTAAATCTTGATTGATCAGTGGTGTATTGTTTCAAGAAATTTAGCTGATTCAAATGGGGATATGCTAGGTCTTGAGTCAGTGGTGTATCCTTGTTTGTTTTTGAGCCTAATTTTGTTGTCAATTGTATTGTTTCTGTTCTCAGGTGTTTGCAGTGTGGGTGATTGTAGTATTTTTTCTTGTGCTTCGATTAGGCTGCATTGTTGGGTGTGTAGCCTCTCATTATTAAGGCTTGTACTGAACTTTGTTTCTTTGTTGGCCGATTGGCCTATTAATATGAGTCATGATATCTTGGAAAAAAAAAAAAAAAAAATCTTGATTGATCAATCAAATTGTTCTCTTTTTTTCTATGACAATCTCTCCTATACACCTATAAATAGTTATTATCTCCAAAGTTAAAATCACACAATAAAATTCAAGTATCAAGTTCAAGAAGTCTTAAAACCTCTCTTGAAGATTCAAATGCATTCTAAATGATCTTAAAATTGAAGATGATGTCCCATTAAGTTACGTCCAATGGATAGAAGGGCAAGAAGAAGTAAAAGATATGAGATTTTTTTTTTCTATAAATTAAGAGGTGGTACACACAACTCTCTAAGTCAAATCCAAGAAGATCAACATGTATAACGATTTGTAAGAGACTCAATAATAAAGACATTAACAATAAGATGACCCACTTAATAATAAGAAGGCCCAATTAGTATATTTTGGTTACAACTATGTAACACTGAATTTATGAAACAATGAATGTCTATTTATTTTTTTGATTCTTTTCTTCTTAGATTAGGGTTTTGATCATTGGTGAATTCGTTAATTGTATCTCATGTAAGGTTTAGCAAAATAAACCTCTCGAGCTCTTTTTAGGGACATTATCATCCTGGGGCACTAGGAAATATTGTTCGTAAATAATCAACGACACCATATAAACCACATTTTTTCCAACTCACTCAGACTATTGATTTAGAAGAATAAAAATCTTACTTTTTGATGAATCAAAGAAGCATATGTCGGCTTAACATGCTCGTTTATTATTTCATGGAATAATAGTGCGAGAAATGACTAAGGTCTAATTTATCTACTTGGTTAGTGACGTTGCAGAAATATAAGCAAAGGAAAAAATAAAGAGAAAGCTCTCTATAAGTTCTATTTCAATCAAAATCATCCTAGTAAAACAATAGTAGATGAGTCATTTAAATAGAACTCCTAAAATCCCAAAATAAATAACTTGCGCGACAAGAATATGACAAGGTAAAATAAATAGTGGTATGGTGCTTTATAGCATTTAAACAAAACAAAAAATGAAATTTAGCCATCTTTCTAAGACAAATGAAATATAATCATTTTGATAGACAAAAGTACGTAATTACCCTTCACCTTTTTCATTTTTTCCTCTTTCCATTTTCATTTTTTCCTCTTTTCATCCGCCCTCCTTTCCCCTCTTCTTCATTTTCATTCTAGAAAACCGCCTCTGTTCAGAGAATTCTGGGCGAGCATCTCGTCACTAGCAAGTAAAAATTGAGAGAGATGAGGGTTTGTGAAATCATCGTCTTCATCCCTTCATCTTCCGGAAAGCACCCGGTTGCTTGTCTTCTGGCAAGCACATGTTCAGCTCCATTTCTCTCCGGCGAATCGAACTGGCCGGCAATCCGCTGCTCCACTTCAGCGAGTCGACCTCCGCCGCCTGCTCCCTCGATTCTCCTCTACTCCAACCGATCTCATTTGTTAAATTAGGGTTTCAAAATCAGAAATCCTTGGGAGGTACTAGAATCGACCTCTCTTTTTTCCCCATTTGTTTCAGACAACAAGACCTGAAAAAAATGAAGGTTCTTCAAGAGAGTGATGCTTGTTCATGGGGTTTTCATGGTTGTAATAAAAAATCCCCTTTTCTCCCTAATCCTTAATCAATTTCAAGAGTTGAGTGGTGCTTGTTCATGGGTTCCCTTTTTTCAAAGTAACAGTATCCAAAAATGGAAGGTTTCCATGAGATAAAAGTCAAACAAAATACCATGAAAGCCATGTGCATTGGTGCTTGTCCATGGGTTTTCCTATTCTATGCAAATAGGTTTGTATAAAATTTTCAATCTTCTTTATATAATTACTTTCTCCTTCATGTGCTGAATGTTATGATAAACAAGAAAAAGCCCAAAGGTTTTTATTCTTTTATTAAGCTCTCTTCATATCTAATTCAACCAAGGTACTTAATTTGTTCATGTGATTTTATCTGTCATTTATGTTAGAATTTGTTGTTACGGAGTTATTCTGCCTGTTTGTTTGTTTGCCTTTTTTTCAATAATATATGATTGTGATTTTTGTTGCCTTAGTTTGGCAAAAGTATGGAATGTGGAAGTATAGTATGGTTTTGATTTGTTTTCAAATTAGTTTTAGTGAGTTAGACCCAAAAAAACCCAGTTATATGCCTCATGGGTGCATGATTTGTTTTCAAATAGGAGTTTGTTTGCTTCTATTTTACAATAGTCAGATATGTTTATTTATTGTATTGTTTTTGTAGATATCAGGAGAACTTCCTGCAGTTTTGAGGGCTGTTGTGGAAATTGGGTGTCAACTTAGGTGCAGATCAGTAATGGTTCTAGTTTATATGTTTTTATTGACTAATGTTTGGCTATTTTCTAAAGTATCTGCTGTTTTTCAATTATAGGGATAATCCAACTAAACAGGTAATATCTGTCAATCCAACAAATAACACTGCCTTTCGTTGCCAATTGCAACATTATGTAGATCCTAATTCAGGTCATTAACGTTTGCAAAATATGTGATGCATTTGATTGCTTTATTATTATAAAACTTATCAATATCCTTAAGATAATCAATCTTGCAGGTAGTTATGTAAATCTGGATGTCATGGTTCCTGAAAATCTTGTCGGCGGTTTGATTGGAAGGTCTGGCGCCAACATATCAAGGATCAGAAACGAGTCTGGAGCAAATATTAAGGTAACTTTTAGTCATTACTATGAAGTTCGTGCTAATTAGTAATAATAGCTGAACTCAATGTCTGACCTCCATGGGGTCGTTACTTGTACGCATATTTAGTTCTTTCTTTTATTTTGCAGGTTTATGGTGCGAGAGGTGAACAAACACAAAGGCAGATCCATTTAGGTGGTAATGCTCAATAGGTATACATGTTTCTATTCTTCAAATCACTTTTGTAAATTCTACGTGCCTTTAATGTGAATTTAGTTTTGACACATACATGATGGGAATTAATCTAATAATTCAAGAACAAGAGCTTAATAATACTAACAAGTAGTCTGAAGAGATCGATTAATTAATTCACAGTGAAGAAAATAATATCGTCTTATATTTCCTGCATAAGAAATTGAACTCTCAACTCTGAACGGCTTGATCTTTTATGATACGAGATGTGGAATACATTCTTGATGCCAAAATTATGTTTGGTAGGTTGCTTTTTCTAAACAACGAGTTGTGATTTATTTTCAAGTGTATTCATAATTGTAATATTTTGATAGTAGAATGAGACCTTATACGAAAATTGTTTGTTAGTAGTCGAATATATGTGGGGCTTGTATTTTCCAGTTTCATGATTTCTCAAATGACTTAAAGAAAGTAAAAAAAAATAAAAATTACAGCTGCATATTAGTGGGGCTTGTACCTAAAGCTCGAGTGCTCTTTCAGGGTTTTGTTGTTTTTTCTCTTGTCTTTTGGCTTGTGGTGGTGTTTTTATTTGTTGTTTATTCCTTGATGGCTTGTGCTACTAAATATGAGCTAAACTACTGTTCAATTATGATGGTCATGTAGTGTGGTTACTCTTCACCAACTCAGTCTGCTCTTACAAATGATCTCGAGCTCAGTCTCACAGGTTTTTAGTAATATATAATTTATTTCCTATAACAAACGTGTAAGAGTATCAAACTTTTTTCTTCTTAACAATTCAAAATTATTGGAACAGTTCTCCATATTTGGTTCTTTGTCAAATGTGGGACCTATGGTTGACGTAATAGTCAGTGGCCAGATTGCCGAGTACATTGGTCGAAAAGGGGTATGAGATTATTTTGTTCTTAGCAACTAAAATTATAGATACTTTGTATTTTCATGGCACAATCTTAATTTTTTTATCCAATTCATTAAATCTGCAGTCTCTAATGATCCCTGACATACCTAATATCATCGGTAGGCTTGCAATATCATTTGCCAGAGTGAGATTCTGTTTAATCGTTTTCCCGCCATCTACTTTTATCTAACATCGACATTTTTAATTTGTTTCTTATCAGCCATTCTTTTTTTTTTTCTTGTTTTACAATTACATCAGGACTTTTCATTTCTTTACATGGGAAGACTATTGGAAGGATTTGGTGTGCCTATAATATCTTACACTGTAAGGACTGTGATTCTTTTGTGTAGATAGTTCTCGGTCGTGAAGGATTATACCTTTATATATATATATTAACTTCCATCTTCTTATAGGTGCATGTATACATAGCTGAGATAGCTCCTCAAAATCTCAGAGGTGCTCTGGGCTCGGTGAACCAGGTTTTTAAATACACTAATTTATGTTGATCTTTTTTCAACTTGTTGATAGCCCCTTTCGAGTAACTTGTTGATCTTTTTTCAACTTTAGGCTCTGATTCGAAAGTGAGCCCGTGTTGTTGTTGTTGTTGTTGTTGTTATCTCGGAGTCGTTTTCCTACTTAATGAAGTTTTGATGATGCTACCATTTGATGGAGCCATTTATGTCTTTGAGTATTCTGCGCACTATCCGAATTGAGATTCACCTTTACAAAGTTGACAAGAATATTGGTTGTTTTTCTTGATTTGTTGGATTTGGAGATCAATTTGTGCAAGGTGATATCTATAGTTGTTGGTGTGTTCAAATGCATGTATGTTGAGCGCATGCTTAGGGAGGTTTTCCAAATAAAACGAGTGACAGAGTAATCAAATACTATTGACGGAAGACAGCATTAGCTATAATAAAATGATTGATTAAATATTTGTTAAGTTAAAATTAGTTCTTTTAATTATATTCTTATTGTATATTATATTATATATAACAAAAAAAAAGTTGTTAGATATAATAATAAGCATTAGAAAATGTATAATACCCGATAAATAAAGTAGAAACAATTTCTTAAACTAACAAAGAAACATTTTCTTGAACAACAAACGGTACAAGAAAACAGGTTTCTTGAACAAGAAACAGTACAAGAAAACAGGTTTCTTGTTCAAGAAAACAATTTTCTTGTTCAAGAAAACAATTTTCTTGAACAAGAAACCGTATAAGACCTGTTTTCTTATACGGTTTCTTGTTCAAGAAATTTGTTTATGAAAGCTTCGTATGATGAGGTCCTAAGACAGAAAAAATTCATCTATGTCTCACCATTTTTGTACACATTTCCAACCCAAAAGCCACTGTGAACAATTCGCACTTACCAACGTCCATTTGAAAAAAAATAAATAAATAAAAAAGAAAATCTCAGTACATATATTTTCCTCAATTTTTTTTTTTTCAAATGTGTTTGGACAAAAATATATGAATACAAGACACAATTTCTTACTCAAGAAACCTGTTTCGTGAACAAGAAGAAACTGTTTCTTGAACAAAAAACAGTTTCTTGTTCGAGAAACATATTTCTTGAGCAAGAAACATGTTTCTTGAGAGAAACATGTTTCTTGTTCAAGAAACCT